TATTGATGTTGGCTGGCGTACTCTGAATTTGCCATGATTTCAAGAAGAACCTCTGTAAGCGGTTAGCACCGTCGATTATATAGATGTTTTTAAAGTCAAAGCGGTGGTCGTTGCCGTCGCAGTGTTCGGTGATCGCGCTGCGTTTGTAACAGAAACTGTGAACGTCGTTTTCGGTACTGGCAGCGTTTTCTGAATGTTCCTGGTTTCGGCGGGGCATATGGCCAAACAATATATTAGACGCAGACAATTACTAGGCTTTTCGAAAACTTGCGGGTGTAGATCATTGAGTCACATATTACCGCCAATTTGAAAAGAAATACACCGCCGTTGTAGAATACAAAAATTTAAAATGCGCCGCTTCTCAACGGTCATTGCCATAGTCACCCCCGAAGAAAAGACCGAGCAGGCCTGGAAAGATTAGGTTCCTAATGCCTGTTTGGGCGTTCGTTTTGGTTTTATTCAGGACGTAAATTGCCACCTATAAGGGTTGTTTTACTTTGAGTACCTCCTACTCATATATTAATTTTATCAACACAAAAAGAAAAATGATTTGCAAATCATGGTTTAGTGTTGCTAAAGTTTACCGTAAGCATAACGAATGTTAGACGTTATATTCCAGCATGCAAATATTTGCCTAGCAACACGAAAGTAAAGTATAATGGAGTACAAGTTAGTCAGGCAAAACGTGTTAGCTAAAGTTTACCGCAAGCATAACAGATGTTAGATGTTATATTCCAGCATGCAAATATTTGCCTAGCAACACGAATGTATAATATAGCACAAGTTAGTCAAGCAAGACGTGTTAGCTAAAGTTTACCGTAAGCATAACGGATGTTAGATGTTATATTCCAGCATGCAAATATTTGCCTAGCAACACGAAAGTAAAGTATAATGGAGTACAAGTTAGTCAAGCAAAACGTGTTAGCTGAAGTTTACCGCAAGCATAATGGATGTTAGATGTTATATTCCAGCATGCCAATATTTGCCTAGCAACACGAAAGTATAATAGAGCACAATTTAGCCAAGCAAAACGTGTTAGCTAAAGTTTACCGTAAGCATAACGGATGTTAGATGTTATATTCCAGCACGCAAATATTTGCCTAGCAACACGAAAGTATAATCGAGCACAAGTTAGTCAAGCAAAACGTGTTAGCTAAACTTTACCGTAAGCATAACGGATGTTAGATGTTATATTCCAGCATGCAAATATTTGACTAGCAACACGAAAGTAAAGTATAATAGAGTACGAGTTAGTCAAGCAAAACGTGTTAGCTAAAGTTTACCGTAAGCATAACGGGTGTTAGATGTTATATTCCAGCATGCAAATATTTGCCTAGCAACACGAAAGTATAATATAGCACAAGTTAGCCAAGCAAAACGTGTTTTCAGGTGCCCATGCGCAAAGATTGATACATATCCCCTTCGGTTCGAAGAAAGACATAGGTTACCCGAATTCACAAAAGCTGCACTTTTTAAGCTGCATTTTAAAATCAATCGGTTGCGCCTCAGAAATAATCAGTCTGCTTGTATGAATCTCCTGGGTGCTCAATATCTTGAATATTACTGTAAAAATAACACAGGTTGCTCTTGTCACTCGCAACAGAGTGAGGTAAACTGACGTTGGAGTCAAACTACTGCTAAGATCCTCGTCCGTAATCCAATCTTAGCAGTGATTTGCCTCCAACCTACAATCACAAAACCCTGGGAAGAAAACAATGTAGACACTTGAGGGAGTCACAAGTAGTCGAGCACGTCTAATGAAACACATGAACGAAATATTGGATATGCTATAAGTACCGAAGTTTCAAAGAAAGCAAACTAAAAGGAGATTAATATTCTGCTCTTGAGTTTCATATATATTATATGCTTTGTGTTTTCGTGCAAACATAGCATTAAAATTGGAGAAAGTGAAAGTGATAATCTGAGATTATGAATAAAACTGAATACAAGTCTTGAATAGCTTATTTACCAAAGCGGTCGTCAAAACGGGAAGTTTGTGCATTTGATAATTCGATCAGCCTCTGCTTTGCTTAGGCATAGCTAGAACGGTGTTTAAGATAACTCAGTGGAGTCTCCAAGAAACTGTCACCTCTTGTGTTGGAATGGATATAAGCGCATGATGCAGGTACGTAAAATATTTAAAAAACGAACAAAGAACTTGTGAAGTCTTAACCGCGTATGAAGCGAATACCCAACATATCATTCCAAATTTTGAAACAGATCAGCCCAGTTATTTTTCACTGAACTGCAGCGACCAACTTTTCGTTCCACTTCGAACTTCACATATAATGAACATGGGGACTGTAATCATATATATATATATATATATATATATATATATATATATATATATATATATATATATATATATTTAAAAAGTTTGACCCCAGTGTTTTACTCTTTGCGAGTACTTTTGCTACAAAAGTTTGAATTATGACTAAGTCACTATATCCAAATCCGTAAGGCTCCGCGACGTAATATACAAATATTATATCTTCTGGGAATCATTTTATGTCCTTAATATTTGAGCTTTAGTATAGTCTTCAACATATTCCAGCTTGAGTACCTTTGTACTCAAAAAATGTGCTGAGAGGTGCCTCATGTCCAGTGCTGGAAAATTGGCACCGAAGGGCTAAAAAAAAACAAGGCTGAATTAGCGCTTTTTTAGAAATTTGGGCTCCAATTAGGTAACTGGTTATGCTGTCCTCACCATTTATCTAAGCCTAAAACATGTCCACGACAGTTATTTTTACGACAGTTCCGCTCCTGTCCTTCGAACGTTCCAACAAAGTGGATTCATGATATTAGGTTCTCTTACTCAGCAGGAAAGCAACGTTAATAACGGAATCATAATTACTGTACACGTAAAATACGGGTTAACGCTCATAAACGGTTGAAATCGTGAAAAAATGAGGGATGCAATAGATGTCTGTCAAAGTCTAAGCTAGAACATTTTTCTTGAATACATGTGCCACAAACGTAATAGGCATGAAAGTGAAATTGTCGCAGTGGCTCCTCAGTGTCCTTCGTCCTCACAGCCGGCGTTTTCGGCGCTCAATGCCAGGCTGTTATTGTCTGCCGCAATCATCATAATTAGAATGCATGACCCCTCTGAATAGATCAAACATTTCTTGTCCAAAAAAAAAAAAAAAAAGACTGCGTTTTACCAGTTCTTTGTTTTGTTTCTGGGTATTTCTATAGTGCCTCTGCACATAGGAAGTTTTCGCGGCTTTCATCTTTATGGTAGGCGTTGGTTGACCATTACTGGAGAGAATTTTCATCTTGTTTAATTTGACGGAAGCTAAACTTTGTGAAAAAATACCTGTATTCTACTACGTGCTGTTGGCTTGTCGTCGGGTTTAACAAGCATTACTTTGTTAGTGATTTTTTTTAAAAGACGAAATTTTATCGGCTATTTTGGTGTGTGGGGCTTAGGAATAGGCCTTAAGTATTAAAATAATTCGGCACTAATGTCAAATTTTTAATTGCATATTCTTTCGTTTAATAGTTATTTTTTATATTACCCCTATAGTGTAATATAACGTTAAAGAAAATGTGCGTGGCGCCGGCATCGACACTTCTATTAACCAGTTTAACTAGTTGATATCTACGGTGACTCGTCTGGGTGTTTCTAGTTCAATTTCTCGCGATCCTGTATACTTGCGTAATTTTAACGGGTGATCAATATAACACGTTCCATAAAATACGTGCTTTACGCGAAGGTGTAGCTAGGAGTTTCACATTTCGGTTTATCTGTGATGATTTTTGGAACTTCACACGTTTATCCTAAACTTGCGTAATTCTTACGCATGCGGTGCGATCTGACATTTTTATGTTAATGTTTTACACAAGGCACCTACAATCGGGGCCATTATGAGCTGGCACATCCGAGCGCCAGTCGAAGGGGTTAAATCAACACCTCCTAGACAGCTTTCAAGCCTGCGCGTCACGTGATATGACGTCACATCCCGGAGGCCTGCACGAGCGCTGATTGGATGCGAGTGCCGCGTCAGCCTTCGCGTAGGACTATGATAGGAAACGATTTCCACAAGAACGCTTACGCGGCACTCGAATCCAATCAGCACCCGTGCAAGCCTCCGGGAAGTGACGTCATATCACGTGACGCGCAGGCTTTGAAACCTGTCTAGGAGGTGTTGGTTAAATGCCGCATGGCCGAGGGGGAGGGGGGGGGGGAGGGTCCTTGCATCCCACGTCACTAAACCTACTGGCACAATGCGACAATTGGAATTGTAGCAGTTCATTCCATCTTTTCGTTTAAAAGCTTAACTGATTTCGCAGCCACCTTTCATGTCACCTTTACTGACCAGACCTGAACGTTGCTGCCCGAGCATACAGTGACGCACTTCTGTATACATTTCTGATCTACAAAGCCTTGAACAGAAATGAACCTATCATCCAATTACCGGGGAACTATAAATAGCTTACAAGGCTTGGAGTGCTAGCAGTAGTTCTTGTTTTTACACCTATTGTTCAGTGAGTCTTGAATAAGAACTTAAGTTCAAGAAAGCATTCTGTCTAGTTAAGTACGACCTTCCCCTAAGATGCATTTGCAAATCTGCTTTATGTCTATACATATGTACAACGTTGCGGTTGGCACAGCACGCATAAATATTAGACGTCATTTGTTTTGTATTTAATATTTTTAATCCACTTTCTTTACTGTATTGAATTCAGCATTCCGTTACTATCAGCAAAAATGTCAACCAACGTTTAACGCAGTATCCCATGTTAGGGAATGCATTCATGTACATGCAGTACGAGACGGCTGTATCACTGAAATAATACATTGATTCTCATCGGCTGGTTACTAGCAGCTAAAAGTTATTTGACTGAATAAATGAGCAGTTGGACATGCGACAGGATCGATAAAGCAGACATACCAATCAAGACTAAAGGCTCTCAGCTTTGCACAGCTCGCAGGCGCCCCAATATGATTCGAAACTGCTTGTCTTCGACAGCACGTTGATGACGCGTACCAGTCATCCCAGCTGGTATCCGCGTCTTTGAATCGGTATGAACACCAGGAAGCACAGGGAAGACACCGCCGTCACGACCAGAAAGATCCAGAAAAGAACGCGGTCGATCACCAGCGCCATCTGACGCCACTCGTTCACAGTCCTAGTCATCCGGTCGTCACGCTCCTGCTTCTCCAGGAGGTACCGCAGCGTCCGCATCACTTCTTCCTGAACGCGCCTGGAAGAACTCCCCGCTGAAGCGCGGCATCGACGGTGTCTTGCCGTCGACGACGAGTTGTTTCTTGTCGGTTCTGGGACGTTGCTGACGGACTCGTTGCTTGAGATCTCGACCAGTTCCACCTTGGATCGCTCGTCCGCGGTCAAGCTCTCGACGGTGAGTCTGAAGGCGTCCAGCGGACGACCTTCGCCATCCTGGTCTCTGAGATATGAGGGGTCTGGGTAAAGGTGTTCCCTGGTCTGTCTCTTGCGCGGTCTCACGCAGCAGGTAGTGAGGGAACGGTTAAGGACGAGCTGTCGAAGCCAGGGTGGCACTTCCTTTCGGCTGGGACCCCGATAGTGGAAGTTGAGGACAATGACCGTCATTACGACGGAAATGGACGTGATGGCCATGACGGCTGTCAGGTAGATACCTGCAGGGTGTGTAAGTGTGGTGTATTTGAAATGCATGATGTCCCACAGGTCATTTGAAGCTACGCTCTCGGACGGCTCTTAGTGTATACTCTAATCGGTGCACTTTTGGAGCATCAGTGATGTATGATCTTCTACAGGAATTTAAAGTTACTCTCTCAGACGCGTCTTGTAGTACACTACCCTTGGCGCACTTAGTGCATTAGGGATGTACGGTCCCGCACAATCTGTTTGAAGTTACGCTCTGGGATGGTTATTAATGTATACTCTCACCAGTGCACTTTTGGTGTATTAGGTATGCATGGTCTTTCAGAAGCCGTTTTAAGTTAGCGCTCTCAGACACTTCTTAATGTGTACTTCCTTTGGTGCACTTTGTGCATTAGGGGTCTATGATCTCGCACAAGTTGTTTTAAGTTGCGCAGTCGGACGGTTCTTATTACAGGCTCTCATTGGCGCACTGTTGATCCAATATAAATTAATTGACTCCCACAGGTCGTTTGCTGTAATGCTCTTAGACGAGTATTATAATGTATACTGCCCTTGGTTCACTCGGAACATCAGAAATTCCTTTTTTCCTAAATTAGCTTAGTCAATTATAGGGTTGTTGGGAAGTGTATTCTAATAAAAATGTATAGTCTCAGTGACGAAAAAAAACAACAAAAAAACAACAACAAACGGGCTCCCTCCATAGCCACCTACCTAGGAGGGGTATGGACTCCGAGGTCTCTGGCATCTTCTCCGCTATGGCCAGCATGAAGACGGAGAAGGCGAGGAGCACCGTGACGCCCAGGGCGATCTTCTCGCCGGAGTCCGGCGGCAGGCAGAACACGAGCAAGGTGAGCACTGACATCATCATGCAGGGCATGACCACGTTGTACATGTAGTACAGGGTCTTGCGTCGGATCACCAGCGTTACCGTGACGTCAGGGAACGGCTCGTCCGGGCAGCACGGGTACACCACCACGTTGCGCACAAGGCGGGCTTCCAGCAGCTGCCACTCGCCGTTGGGCACGTAATTGGCCAGGTCCACCGCGGTCGTCCGGTTCTGGACGTCGACCTGCGACATCGGGCTCATTGGCAAAGAACTAAATGCGGGATCACACACCTGCCTTTGAAGGCTGGTTCACGCGTGTTCTCTCAATTACGTTCGGATGCATTGCCTTCTCTTGTAATTGCTCAACTGGCTGGCATACTAGCGCCGCAATAGTCGGGTAAACCTGGAACACTTATTACTTGTATAAGACTAGACCAAAGAGATTTCATTGTTTGCGAGGTGAACGTTTCACCATATTTATATGCAATAATTCCTTGTATCATTGAGAAAATTACTTTGAGCCCAAGGTAAAAGTAGAATGCTTAAAATAAAAACAAGCATACACAGGTTGGAAGTGCTCCAGTGCCACTCAATTGATAGGGCCGGCGCACTAGTGTGTTAAAGAGAAACTAAAGCGGTTCTGTGTTTAAGAAAAAAAAAAACACACTTAAATTGTTTTATTTGATGTTCAGGATGGCGAGCATCAAATGTATATTTCAGATTGATGCGCCAAGAAGCCACAGCAGCGCTTTCAAAATAGCGATGATGCCCCTCCTTCCCGTCGCGTTTGGTGCGGGGAGGGAATCGTGACGTATGATACGGAGATATCAGCACATCCGCGCTTTCTGCAAGCCTTACCCCAGCAGATAGAAGCTCTGCACAGGTTCCCTCGCAAGGGGGACCAGCAAAGCAGCTGAAACCTCTGGGTATGACGTCACACCCAGCGGTGGGTTCTTTTTTGTTTCGGTTTTTTCTCTATCTATCGATTGGTTTACGTCAAATGCTTGTAATATAGAAATTCGCTCGGAAAACTTTCTTGAAGCACTTTAGCTATTTTCAATTATAAGCAAGATCAACAAAATGTACATCTATAATAGATCCTTTTGAGAAGAATATACGAGTAAAAAATAAATAGTGAAGCTTGAAAATCTTACGGGATAACAGCGAACTAAAAATGTCAAAGTAGCCAAATTGCTGCACTTTGAAGTGTTGTATTTCCGGCAGAGAGAAAATAATGCAACTTGTTTTATTGCGAAAACAGGGTGATATAGTGTACAATGCCTTACTGAAAAAAAATTGAAGATGTTTTGTTTAAATTGCACGTTGAAGTTGTGGGACTTGTCGTTTTCAGCTGTGTTTCGTGCACTGTAAATATTGTTTTCATAAGTCAGAGCGACACATTATATATAAACAATAGACCCTTATGTAAAGAACCCGTGAAACATATTTAAAAGATATATATTAAAAACTCTACGAGATGACAAATCACAAACATAACGTTAAAACGTCAAAGTAGCCCTGTTTGTGCATTCTTTACGCACGATATATACTTTCTAAAATTGTATAAATTGTTTTATGTAGTGCCATTATAAACTACCATTCGAGGAAAAAATTGTAAGTTTTATAATGTTTGGTTTTTGTCTACTACGTGCCGTCAAACTTGGCTGAAATGCCAAAATGCCAAAACGGGTCTGCCGTCTTGATGTAATATTTTTTTTGTTTTCTCGAGAAATAAATTTTTTCGCAGAACCCTTTTGTGATTCCTTTCCTTCCAGACATTAGGCAGCAACAAATGAAAATACGATGAAAAACAAAAATGTCAACTGGACACGCGTGCATGACCCTCTCTAAACACTATGAAAAATTGTATCAAAGATTGGAGAGCAAGTGAGTGAACGTCTCACGACGGCAGGCATTGCCATTTTTCACCGTGCATCCACACAAAAACATTCAGAACGCTATCGTTTGTTTCATTCAACGTAGCAATAAACTCGCTATCCTCGAAAAATCAAGGGAAAAAAGGGTCACCACTGCAGCCCTTGTTTTTGTAACTGACTGGACTGGAGAAATATGTTTCATGGAATTTGGTAAACTGCCGGCCTGGCGTCTCACTGTATTTTCCAGGCACCGGAATTCCACGGAACTGCTTGGGAATGAATTCCCTTGACGTTCCTTGCTTTTTCTAGGTCCGAGCCGACCAGGGTAGACAGGGGGCCACCAACATTGAAGGTTTAGTGGCGCTCCACTCTGTTCGTCGGCCCCACTCTTACAAAAATTGTCAATGAGTTTCTATTGAGTTTCTAATGTATTCTATATGAACATATTGGAAACTCAATAGAAACTCATTGATCATTTTTGAATACATGAGAAACTCAATAGAAACTGGTTGATCATTTCTGTAAAAGCAGGGCTCCACGCAACCGCCAGGGAAGTGATTTCCTAGTCGTTCCTTGTTTTTTCTCTGTCCGAGCCGACCAGGGTAGACAGGGGGCCACCAACATTGAAGGTTTTGTGGCGCTTCACTGTATTCACTGGACCCAGGATTTCCGAAACTGCCAGGGAAGGGTGCTATGTGTCGTTCCTTAAGTTTGCTAAATTCAGTGCGCCAAAGAATGACTGAAAATCACCGCCGTTCATTATTTCTTGGCTGTTGCTTGCTTTTCATTGGAAACTAAAGTACGCGATACGGTCACTTTTGCTTGCATCGACTTGAAATTTAATTTTACATTGTGCTTAAATTTGGCTTTACCTAAAGCCACTATCAAAAGGCCCGTGACATAACTACGGCTCTAGGCTTTGCGCTTGTACCTCTGGCCTGGACCCGTTGCTTCCTGTATTTGTTTGAGAAATCTTGCGTTTGTCTGCGTGAATCAATCGTCCGGCTTCATTAGGGAGTTTTCGTAGATCGTTTTCGCCGTCCCGCAAGGCCCTCCGCAACCCGCTAGGATAGCGGGAACTCCACAGTCAAGGATATCAGCGCGCAGGCGCAGTAGCAACTTCTTCGTTGCGGAACGCTTAGCGGAGGGGGCAGCGCGGCCTACAAAAACTCCCTATTGACACGCCCGTACCGATGGTACATTGCGGCCACTAGCAAGGTTTGTAAAGCTGCTTCATATCTCTGACCCAGGCACGTAGCCAGGGGGGGGGGGGGGAGGGGGGGGGGGCCTGCCGCCCCTCCCCGATATCTTCCATTTTGCTGGGACCTCCTCTCCCCCCTCCCCCTTATACAACGTTTTGTCATGGGCGGGCCCCCCTTCCGAAACAAAATCCTCGCTACGTGCCCGCTCTGATCTAACCAAATCGCCTAAAATACGGAAGTGTTGCACTGAATGTGTAAATGAGACGAGACATAGAACACATTCCATCAGAGAGCGATGTTTATTTCAGAACACACAAAACAATCGCCATTCGTCAGCGCTTCCATAAAAATCATATGAAAAATATGCTGCTGGATTAAGGCTGCATACCTTGAAGAGGCGTTAAACACGCGTGTTTATTTTGCCGTTGGCTCGGACCCTGCATTCGTGGCATTAATAAACTCCATAGCGACTTGAAATTATGCTGTTGTACGTCAAAAAAAGTTATTTTTCAGATATTAATTCCTCGTTATTTTTGAATGAGTGTAAAAAGCTTGCACATGAGCGCGATGCTTGGCCTTGCGTAGTGCATATGTCAGTAATACCGAGCAAAACACGCGAATGATCCGGAGCTTCTGTAGAGCTACCGCTTTTTGCAAATTTAGAATGTAGTTACCCAATTTTGATCTATCGCAGTGTCATATGCGCGTAAACAAAATAAATATTTGAATTATGTAAACTCAAGGAGATCTTAGCCTACTTGCCAGGTTCATTGTTTCCGAACGTTTTCGGCGTTTACCCAAGGAGTATATTGACCAAGGTCCGTTCGCTCGTCTCACGCAATGTTTCGACCGCTTCTCGTCCTCTGTACTGTAGGGTTTGTTGGCGATCAGCGTTTACCACATAAAACAAATCTACCTGGTCCTGGTATCGAACCAGGGACCTGTCCTTGGTCCGGTAGGAGGACAAGGCGGATTTTTTTCAGTCCCGCTCCAGTAACCCTGCTGTGCTTGGAGATTTGCGTCTATTCTTTGTACCCTTCTTACCCTTTTCATGGATATTACTGTAATTCTTGTCCAGCTCACTTGCACGAATGCATAAATTGCACTATCATCATAACCTTAATATACATGCCGTTCGCCCTTGTTGGTGTTAGACTGGTGGAAGCTGTTGAACCCGTTTGCTCTACTGGCGTCTAATTCCTGGTGAGCTAAGTTGGTGGAGCGGTCCACTGGAACTGAAGCGCATGGAATTAATTGCTTCTATGCAGAAGCATGCACGGCAATTTCTTACATTAGCTTCGCGCGTCGTATATAAGATACCACTTTCGTTTCGCAAGAGCAACGTATAGGCCAAACGGGCAGACGCCTCAATAAATGACTCTGTAAACATGATTATCCTTGAAGGCTACAGTGGGCAGACATCTTCCAATCCATTCTAGGAAGTGTAAATGCCGACCTTTATTCGACGAGACAAGCATCCTCGGGAGGAACAACGACAAATTGACCCGCGAGGTGCTGGAGGCCTTCCCCATCCTCTGTGGAGACAGGGCCAGTATTAGTGCGGAATCCGTGCCGTTGTCAAAAAAGAAAAGAGAATGCCTGCAACAGGCAATGAATGCCCCACACGAGCCTGAATGAGCGAGCCACTATCATTCGCGGGGCTAATGGTAGATGCATGTATCCGTGGTGAATCATTGTCTCGTCCTTTCTTTTTCTTTTCCTGTCAGCAAACAGATAGTTGTGGGTGGCGGTCTTTTCTGTCCTGTCCTTCTCTCTACTTTGTGCGCTACATACCTCAATATGTAAGCGCCCCCTATATTGGCTTGAACTTACGAATAGTTTCGCGAGCGCGTGCAAATCAGAGGCAACGCGAAACCTCTTGATCTCGTCAGTTTTCTGAATTGGGTGGTCGGGTACGCTGACTGCAGCATGTAGCTATGGCTCAAAATGAAAACAATTCTTCTGTTTTCACACCCAGAACAACTGAATTACAACGCGGTTTGCATTTCGAGGTATAGCAAATACGAAGGTGAACGAAAAAAATTCTCATTATAGTCGGTCAGAGGTTAAGAGTAGAGTGGAAGCTCCCCCCGGCTCTTTCCACTTAAAGGCCGACGATCAGTTCGCGCTTTCCACTTTTTCCTAATTTCTCCTCTCCTCCCTT